GGAAAACGACAACACAGCCGCCCCACGAATCGAGGTACCTCAGGACGGCCTCGAGGGAGCACCAATTGCAAATCCCGTTAATGTCAGTTCACATGTCGCCCTAAATGCAAATTTGGGAGCTGAGCCCGAAGGTAGTATACACAAGGAAGTTCGATCAGGTGGTCGAGGTACACAGGGCAGAGAATATGGTGGAGTTAGCCTCAAATTGATATTCGAAATGTTACAGGCTCAACAAGCCGCTATAGCACAACTACAAAATCAACACCGAACACCGAGTAGGATCGAACCAGATGTCGTTCAAAGGACCGAGCATGTGCCGAAAAGGTCAAATGTCAACAAATCAGGGACTGCCCCCGCCATTATGAAAATGTTCGAGGAGCTCACTAAACGAATTGAATCGGGAGAAAAGAAAATCGAGGCAAATGACAAGAAAGTAGAGACACATAACTCCCGGGTTGACCAGATACTGAGGGCGCCGCCGATTTTAAAAGGTATGGATTCAAAGAAATTTGTACAAAAGCCTTTCCCTCCGAGTGCATCATCGAAACCCATTCTGAAGAAATTCTGAATGCCAAAAATTCCTAAGTAACGGGACCACTCACCCTAATGGGCATGTCACTTCTTATACATGCGCAATAAATGGAAACGACTTTAGAAGACGATGTGATTGAATTTGTTATACTAAAGAAATTTGGAGAAACCTTATCCAAATGAGCAATGATATGGTACCACAATTTGCCGCCTAATTCCATCGATTCCTTTGCCATGCTTGCAGACAATTTTGTTCTGGATCCTCGGAGGCCGAGGCCCTTTTTCTCTTATTGTCCTTCACCGATTTCGGAATCGGGGCCAAATTCTTTTCCTTGCCAGATGGGGGCCTCGTGACCGTATCTTTGCCTAGGCCTACACACAAGAAAATTGGTTAAGCATAAGAAAGACATTTTGATCAAAATTATCAGATATACGAAAGAGAGGCTTACCATGATTTTTGGCCTCCCATCGGCCCTTTGATAAATCGCGCCATGAGCGCTCGACGTACGAAGAGGTCGAGGCTAGGTCCCGAACCCATCTCTCGAGATTAGGAATTGCACGAGGCATCCAAGCAACCGTTACATCATGGAAAGGGATATCGATAAGAGGAAGTAAATGGGCCAAACAATAAATAAGAACTAACATTGGGATTATACTTACACTTCATATTCCATCACTCAGGAAATGGCATCTTCTCAGCTGGGATTAGGTCGGAAGTCCTCACTCGAACAAACCGGCTTATCCAGCCTTGGTCCTTGTCCTCGTCTATACTCGAGAACAATACTTTGGTGGCCCGACGTTGGAGTTTTATTAACCCGCCTCGACAGAGACGGGGGTTGTATAACCTGATGAGGTGGTCGAGGGTGAAAGGCTTCCCCTCGACTTTGTTCACGAAGAATCAGAGCAGAATAACAATTTGGCCTAGGATTATCTGATACTGACGACAAAAATCAACGACGACGGGGTCGAGTGGGCCCAGCGTGAAAAGGTAAGTTTAAATACTTAGAAACCCTTTCACATGGGTAGTTATGTCCTCTTCGGTAGTCGGGATCACCACCTCTATATCCCCCAGTTACAATCTTTCTTTACCTGCTCGAGGTATTTCTCTGTTATCGAGCATAAATATCTTGACACAGACTCGCATCGACCTGGAACCGAAAAAGCCTTATCGGTTTTGAAATCTGAGTTTAACGCGCACCTCCCAGGAATACACTCCTCAATACGGGGTTCCGCTGGCGTTTTCCCGCTGGTCGGTTGAGAAGATGAAGCATTTTCTTTTTGTGGTACCGTTTTTAATGTTTTTGTCATTTTTCGTATGGGTTTGAAGCAGTAAGATTTTGTGTTTTGAGAAGGGGTTAACAACAAAACTTGAGGATTTCGCAAAATGGAAAAACTTGAAAGAGGTAAAGGCTTTAGAGAAGAAAGTGAAAGTAAAATCTGAATCAATGAAGATAGGGCATATTTATGGGATCTACAATGACGGTTCAAAATCACTAGTGGCCGACCACCAACTGACGCTCATTAATGATTTGAGGAACCGTACTGACGGGACATTTTTGGTCATTTGCGAGGATGACGTCCTGACAATGATGATGTCATAATAGGTCAAACTAGAGAATCAAAGACTCAGTTCGTTCCTTGTCGTTATACTCAAATAAATGAGGGGACTATCTGTATACGGTTAAAATCGGGGCCACCCGATTTTTCTATGCTGACCGAGACCAAGAAGTTGTATCGAAGGTCAACCCCGAAATGGATCGGGTCAAGACACAAAGACAAGGTACCGAGCTCGTGATTCGAGACACCTGCTAAGATCGAGGCCGACAATAATCGAGACCAAACAAGACATGCATCGAGTAATACCGAAGATAGCATAATAACAGAAAAGCGAGATATCCGCGACTGGTCGAAGATCATGGTGAAAATCTCAGAACGGATCGAATCAAGAACGATTGTTTAGCTAATCATGAGATTTTCTTCTATAATTAAAATTGTACCATATATAAAATTCATCTACTATATAAATGGGAGTTCCAACCATTTTGTGGGGACAACTGATACAAAAGCAATATAATTTTCTTTCTCGCTCACACTCTTGTTCTTTAGCTTATTATATTTGTATTGTCCTTGCATCAACCAGTTCGAGGATACTCTAACTTAAGGGTTGAGTTCTACTCAGATACTGATTTGATTTACTTTATTGTATAATTCTATTATTAATCTTCATATTTTTCAATTGGTATCAAGTGAAATCACGTATCCTTAAATCCATATTATAAAATTAATTGTTATCCAATTTTAAGGGTAAACAATTTTCAAACGCATCCTTCTTTAAATAATTAAACAAATAAATTTGCAAATTTAACCATTTTTCACTTTTTATTTCTCTTGTTGTATTTCATCTTCCCACAAAAGTAACTCATAAAATCATATTCTCCGCCTAAGGTATCCCATTTTACCATCCATCTTCAAACTATAGTTCTTTTCTCTAACCATCTCCAACATATGTTTAAACGATGGTGTTTATTGTGGAGTTATGGTAGCATTTTTTGGCGAGTCTTGATGATGAAGGTTAATTTTGGTGATCAATATTTTTTTTGGTGAGCCCTATGTTTGTGAAAATATAATAGTTATAGTAATTTTTGTCATTTCGGTGAAAGTCATATGGCAGAGAAGAGTGGTGAAATAGCATGCTTGGTGGCAGAGCGGTCGTATTTTTTCAAGTGATGGATTGATTATGATAAGAATTGAGAACAATTATTATATTTTTTGAGTGAACAAGGTGGTCGAGGGTTGCTATTGTTAGATTTTATACGTATTTGATTCTATTGGAATTTGAAAAAAAAAGGTAGAAAAAAAATATTTTGTGGGAAATGGTGGCCGACCATAGGGATGTGCATAATTTGGTAAATACCGAATTATCAAACCAAAATCAAAAATTTTGGTATTCGGTATTCGATATTTTGGTATTCAGTATGGTATTTGGTTTAAGTTTTAAAAAAATGGAATTAGGTATGGTATTTGGTATTTTAAAATAAAATACCGAAATACCGATACCGTACCGAAATATATATTATATTACACAATATACATTTTATTAATTATTACATAAATATAAGAAAATTTTACTTTCCTTTATTCTCTAAGTTCATCAATTAACTCTAAGCAAGTAACAATATATTTCTCTAAGTTTTCTCTCTCTAGGTTGGTATTTGCTGGTTTCGGACAAAACTTTTGTCAACAAACATTTTTAGTTTTGTATTTTTGAGTACTTTAATTAAGAATATTACTGTTTATGACTCTACGCACTAGTTAATATTCAAACTGAATAAACCAAACCGAATAAACCGAAATCGAAAGGAGAAAAATCAAACCATATCGAATTTAATTAGGTACAGTATTGGTATAACATTTTACGAAATCGAGTACCGAAATGTCTAAATACCGTACCGACTGACGAATACTCCTAACCGACCATGGTAGTTTTCGGCCAAGACTATAATAATTTTTGAGTGATTTTTTTGTACCCATCTTTTTAGAAGGATATTGAAAAACGAGAAAAGAAAATATAGTAAAAGAGAATCATATGCAACCTCTTGATCATATCTCAGGTAGTTTTTTTCTTCGAGGGACTAACAACGGTTTATTGTTGGATGGATGAATGAGATTTATGGTGGTGTCATGGAGCGAATGTGAAGGACCAAGACTTATGTTATATACTGGTGGTCGAGCAAGAAGAGCGAGATAGTTGGAGGTTTGCCCTGTGCTCTCGTTGTCTGCTAGGCTTTGTTTTTAAAGTAGGTATTTTGAATGGTTAGTTTTGTAGTGAAAAAGGGTTTTAGCGAGGAGGTGTCTATATGAGGTAGTGTTTCGGAAGATAACGAAGAATAAGGGAAAAGAAAAATAAATGGGAAAGGATCAAATTTGACCCTAAAATTTGGTAAATGGTCTAGATATATCATAAGTTAATTGTTGGCTGGACGACATATATGAGGCAACCCTGGGTACTGATCAAAGTATTTAGATGCTAATTAGATCCAGATAATCATGGCATATATGTGCTACACTTATAACTACAAAGCACCCCCAACTATTAACAGATGGCATATTTATACCATATACATAATTCAAGGAGTATTTTGATTCTTTTCCCCAAAAATAAATATAGGTGTTTTAAGAATAAAAAATATCCCATGGAAATCCTATTATCTCATCCACATTATTCACTGGCCCACTAAGACAAAAAATAAAATTTCAGCATGTACTAATCCACCATAATAAGAGGAAAATGACAGGACAAAGACACAAAAGAAACGAGAAAAGGATTCCCCTCCCATTTTGAACTAAACGGTCCAGAGTCCAAGTCCCCACTCCCCAGGTTAGATCATGGTCAGGAGGCCATTTTAGTCATTTCACTTTCACTACCATAGACCCAAAATATTTCGAAGACCCGCTCAATAGAATATCAAAAGCTCGTATTTTGGAGGGATATACAAAGGGCGGCAAATATATTCGCCGGCCTGCACGTGACCCCCACACACTTCTCTCTCTCTCTCTCTCTCTCTCTTCCGATGTCGTCGTCAAGGCTCCGATCATCCATCTCGCCGTTCCGGTCTCGAAAATCGTCGTCGTCGTCGTCGTCTTCCTCCTCCTCTAAGCGTCCTACGACCCCTTCCTCTACTACTTCCTCCAAAGCTCCCACTCTACCGCCGGCAAAATCATCATTTTCTCCGTCGACTCCTAGCTCCGACGGTCCACCGGGTTCTTCTGGAAAGACTAAGGAGAATGTCACTGTTACCGTTAGGTTTCGTCCGCTCAAGTGAGTAATTTCCTTACATTTATTTGTACACTGGTCCTCCATTATCTGAGCTGTTGCTGATGATGACAAGTCGATTTTTTTTCATCTTTTGTAGTGCTAGAGAGATTGGTAAAGGCGACGAGTTAGCTTGGTATGCTGATGGAGATTATACGGTCCGCAATGAGATCAATCCCAAAATTGCTTATAGTTTTGGTTAGTCGTTTATGACTTGGTGGACCGTTAGCTTTCATTTTTCTATCTGTATAAATGTGTGGAAGTGTATGTTCTTGTAATAATAATGCAGAATAGTATGTTCATTCGTCAAAAAGTACTACTGATGTTGATGGAGGTACAATCATTCATGCATGGTTGTGTCTGGAATTCCAATTGTAACTGTTTTAATGGAGTTCCAGTGTTGGATTATTTTGTTCCGTTACTTTTTTTCGTTCTGCCTATTCCTAGGGTTCACTTGTTTGTCACTTTCCCACGGACATATCATTTCTTTTGCTTATTAGAAAAAGGAAATATTTTTCATACAGATAAAGTTTTTGGTCNCCTGCTGAATTAACTTAATAGTAATTTTCCTTAACTGCAAACTATAAGATCAACATTACTTGTTAAGTTATACCATATTGTAAGTTGCTCGGACTCTCCAAAAATGTTGTTGTACCCGTGTCGGATCTCCAAAAATGTGTTTGGAGGTTCCGACGCACACCCAACAACATTTTTGAAGACTCGGAGCACATTTGTCCATACCGTAATATGTCTGTCTTGGAGAAAAAACAACCTTTATATCATAACTTTATTTCTTGACTTTCTTCTACCAAAGCAATGGCCGTCTTTCCTTCATCTTTTACATAAATATATCAGTCCATCCCTTGTTCCTTTCTGCATCATTTTTTTGGGAGCAAACCAGAGGATAATAATATTGTTGTACATACTGCGATGAAGTAATTTAACAAGACCTTTTACTTGTTTACAAAATTTGTAAGATTTTGCTTCCATCCATTCTTAGAGTGACGTGGAATCTAAAGTTACAACTCTTTAGGGAGTTTTTGGTTCTATGTTTTCTTGCTTTAATTGAGAAGGATAGTTTGGTCATTACTTTAAGAAACCATAAATTGTTGTATTACGCTTTGAAGCGTCGGACTGAACGTGTAAGTCATCAACTTGTACGGTATTGGGGCCAGTTAAGTGATAACTAAGAATTATGTTTTAGCCTTTTAGGCATTGTTGTCGCAAACTAAGGTGTGGATAGAGGGGAAAGTTTTGTAGACCAAAGACACTCATTCCCTCACATTTTGTCTTCCGCTTGGCACTTACATTGTTATTTTTGTTATATTTAAATGTTTTCCAGGAACCGTGTTTGCTTATGGTGTAACTAGCAGCGGAAAGACTCATACAATGCATGTAAGTCATTTCGTTAAGTTTTCATTAGTCATTTTAATTCCTGCCATGCTTTTTTGGTGTGTTCACTTGATTAAGATGATAGATCCAAAAGTGTACACATTTTGAAAATGAGTATATATCCAACATGTTACTCAATTTGCTTGAAGTGAAAAATAAAACATGCAGCCATCTAAAAGGAAATTAGGAAGGGAGTTTTCTCTTTGGCAGCTCTCGTCAAAGATAGAGTGAGTGGGGTGGAGTGGGGATTTGGGGAGTGTACGGACCGGTAGGGGAAGGGTCCAAGGTGTCTTTTTGGGAGGAACTGGCCAATATTATGGGGGAATGGGACATTCCATGGGTTCTAGGGGGAGACTTTAACACTATTAGATTCCCGGAGGAGAGATTAGGGTGTAGTGTGATTTCGAGGGCCATGGAGGAGTTTTCTGACTTCATCAATGATCACTTTCTCATTGACCTTCCTCTGTCAGGGGAAAGGTTTACTTGGGACAGGGCGGAGGATTCCAACTCAAGGTCTAGACTTGATAGATTCCTTACATCTCCCTTATGGGATGAGCTGGTGCCGAATGTGCTGCAGATTCCTTTACATAGGTTGACTTCAGATCATTTGCCTATTTTGCTAGATGGATGCAGAGGGAGGGGGGTGCGTGCTCCCTTCCGATTCGAAAACATGTGGTTGAAAGTGTCAGGATTCGGTGACAAGGTGAAAGAATGGTGGACAAGCTACGGGGTATCAGGAACACCTTCATTCCGTCTTTCGAAGAAACTCAAATTGCTCAAGGGAGATATTATTAGGTGGAATAAGGAGGTTTTTGGGAGAGTAAAGGTTAAAATGAGGGAGCTTATGCATGAATTGGGGGATTTAAAAAGAGGGGAAGGGGCGGGGGAGTTAGATGAATCTGAGAAAGAGAGATTGGGGGAGGTTAAGAGGGAAATAGTCGAGTTAGCAATAGCTCAGGAGACTAGTTGGCGGCAAAAATTGAGGGCGCTCTGGTTAAAGGAGGGGGATTCGAATACCAAGTTTTTCCATAGGGTGGCGGTCGCAAATCGAAGGATAAACTTCATAGCGTCCTTAGTTGTGGATGAGGTGAGGATTGAGGGAGAGGAGGAGGTAAAAAGGGGCGATAACGGGGTTTTATGAGAACTTATATAAAGAGGAAGCTAGTTGGAGGCCGACTTTGGGGGGAATAGAGTTCAATCATATAGGGGAGGGAGACAACGAGTGGCTAGAAAGGGTTTTCGAGGAGGAGGAGATGCACGAGGCTGTGTCGAGTTGTGTTGGTGATAAGGCCCCCGGGCCTGATGGTTTCTCCTTGGCTTTCTTTCAGCTATTTTGGGACACCATCAAGGGGGAGTTGATGGAAGCCATTGAATACTTCCATGCGAATGGTGTTTTCGAAAGAAGTATCAATGCTTCCTTTATTACTATTGTGCCTAAGAAAGAAGATGCATCTTGTATCAGAGACTACATGCCTATTAGTCTTGTGGGGAGCATTTACAAGATTATTTCTAAAGTGCTTTCCAACAGACTTAAGAAGGTTCTTTACATGACTGCTTCGTCCTCCCAGAATGCGTTTGTGGAAGGTAAGCAGATCCTGGATGCTGCCTTGGTGGCAAATGAACTTGTAGACTCCAGAAGGAAAAATAGAGAACCCGTCTTACTATGCAAGTTGGACCTTGAGAAGGCTTTCGACCATGTCAATTGGGAGTTCCTGGACTTCATTATGATGCGGATGGGATTTGGGGAAAGATGGAGGGGATGGATCAAGTTCTGCATTTCCTCAGTCAGATTCTCTGTCCTGGTTAATGGTAGCCCGTGTGGTTTCTTTGGCAGCTCCAGGGGTCTCAGGCAAGGTGACCCCCTATCCCCCATGTTATTCATTCTAGTGATGGATGCTCTGAGCAAAATGATGGATCGTGCGGCGGGCGGAGGTTTCTTGAGAGGATTCTCAGCTTCGATTGGGGTGCTCAGTGCCCGAAGAGTCTCACATTTGCTTTTTGCGGATGACACATTGGTTTTCTGTGATGCCGATATGGATTAGTTGACCTACCTGAAGCAGGTCTTGGTGGTTTCAGTTAGTATCAGGACTCAAAATCAACATTGGCAAGTGTGAGATTTTTCCGGTAGGTGAGGTTACTAATATTGATGCCTTGTCTGGTGTTCTCAGATGCAAGGTGGGCTCCTTTCCCACTACATACCTGGGCCTCCCTTTAGGCGCTTCATATAAGGATACTACTGTTTGGAATCCAGTAATCGAGCGGGTTGAAAAAAGATTAGTAGGGTGGCAGGTATTTGTCAAAAGGAGGTAAGGAAGTGCTTATTAAAAGCACTTTATCGAGTATGCCCACCTATTACTTATCCTTGTTGCAAGCAGCGGTGAGCATCACAGAAAAACTGGAGCGACTTCAAAGGAACTTTCTGTGAGATGCGACGGATGGAACTAGAAAGTTTCATCTAGTGAATTGGCAGACAGTCACTTCCCCAAAGAAGTGGGGTGGACTTGGAGTGAAAGATCTTAGGGTATTTAACAGAGCGTTAATGGGAACGTGGCTGTGGAGATTCGGGGTAGAAGAGCATGCTCTATGGAGGGAGGTCATAGTAGAAAAGTACGATTCAAC